CCCCCCGCCCCCGCGGTACCCTGGGCCGCCGCGGAGAGGTGTGGGGCTCCTCCCCCTCCCACACACATCGCTGCTGGGGGCCTTCATGCAAGGAGAAGGCTCGAGTAAAAGAATAGCTTCACTTGTTGGAGGGGTGTGTCGTGCCCGGGCATCTTCACGCGGGGAGTGCTGCTAGGGGGTCTCTCTTAAAAAAGAAAAAAATAAAACAGTAGTCTTAGCAGCAAAATCCCCTTAGTGTGGTGAGAGCAGACTAGCGACTGGAGAAGTGAAGGTAGACCGGTCTAATGCACGTTTAGGGGTTGGAGAAGTTACTAGTACTTACCATTAGCACATAAACCAAAGCTTTAGTTGAACTAAACAGCTAGAGCTAGGTTTTAAGATGAGTTAAGCATGTTTATTCTCAGTTCAGCAAATGTAAAAGAAAAATCACTTTTCGTCTAGATAGCTATGACTCCAATGTAGCTTGCATAGTGATGCAAAATGGGGAATGCAAGTTTGAGGTCACCAGAATACTCTTTTTAAAAAAACAAAACAGCTCTGAAGCATGTCTTTCCAGATGTAAATGGTAATTCAGGTCAGTTTAGCTAGTACAGAAAATGATCTCGGTGAAGAAGTGTTAAAAGTCATTCTCCTCTACCCTTTTTTATTCTATGTTTTCACATATCTTGGTTTTGCATCTCTTTTAAATGATGTTTGTTAACTGCGGTCTATGGCATGCATCACTACCGTGTAGTTTTTCATGCAGCTTGTCCAGTCTCTTCCACAGTTCTGAAACTTTCTTTAAGTATCTGTTTTGTTGTCATTGTGGGAGAAGTGATGTATATATACAATGTACTTCATGAATTGGTGTGGAGTTTCTGTGATTTTTCATAGGAGAGTAATAGGGTTTGATTATTTTGTTGAACTCATCTCTAATGAGGCAAGGCTGTAATTTACTATAGGTAAGAATTCTGCTTTACTATAGTAGATTCTTAGATAAAATTAATCCAAAGTACAGCTCCATACTCGTTGCTAAATTGTTTTCTTACTGGTGCTCTGAAATGCTGGGTCAATATCAGCAGAAAGGTTAGTCTGAGATGGTTCTTTACTGTGCTTTGCCTTGGGCTACATGAGCTGCAGCAGATTATCTGTGTAGTTTGGTCAAAGACTTGTCTGGTTGTTGTAAATTGATCCTAATCTGGTAGTCACTCTGATTGTTCAGGAAGGAAAAAAGACTTTGAATTTTCAGGGGAAGAGTAAGTATTGACTGTTACAGATATAATTTGCTCTGCAAGTGAGAATTTGGTTTAGTGATCCATGGATTCATTGTCTGTGACACCAGAGAAGATGGTGGTGGAAAGGCTTTTTTGTAAGGATTTGGACGTCACTGTTTTAACACATGATTACTCTAGAAACATCTGCATGACTAACAACCAGGGTAGCTGTGTGGAAAGACTCCCCTAGCACATAAAGGATTTTACTGGTAAAACTGAAGCCTTACATAGATTATTTTTTGCTCATCACATCATTAGAAAGGTTAGGAGAGTTTGTCAGTGTGAACTTATAATAGAAATATTGCTCGATACATATTCTTAATACAGGCATAGATTTGTAAGAGGGAGGGAAACCTTCTTGTTCATTTGAAAGTGGAAGTGTTGTTTTTCCACCACTGATTCTATTTTTCTAAGGCTAAGTACCACCTCTTACTGAGGTTTTATAAGTACCTCGGTTCAGAAGAATATTTGCCCTTAATGGAAGCAAAAAGCATTTTGTTCTTCAGACTGGTTCCAGGACTGGCCCAAACCACTTTGCCCAACAATACCAAAATGTCGCTGGACAGCAAATGTTTTGGCACCTTTTTCACCTAAAACAATTGCATATGAGAAAATTTCCAGGGTTACATAAAATGACCAATAAAAGCTGATAGGGAGGAAACAATCCAGTAGGCTACTGCTTCCTCTACTGTCATAAGGGGGACAGTATATATGTCTATATCTAAAGTGTAGAAGATAGGCATTTTTTTAATACCATGTGAAGCATGTGATGGGTTGTAAAGCCTGATAACAGATACGAAAGATGCTAGCAAGTACTTGAAGGAAGTTTGGTTGCCACCATTCTGTGGCTTATAAATGGAAGTTACGTATAAAAAAACTGGCTTGCTTGAGAGTTGGCTAGACCTCTGCATTTGTCAGTATTGGTTTGGTGATATCACTAAAGAGACAATATTTTATACACCACGAAGAACAGTCAGCTTTCCAAAAGGTGACAGGAATGTTCCAAAGTAATTCATTCTACCAGTGGCTAACAACTGTGTGTTAAAACAACTCACATATTTTTGCGTGGTAAGGTTATTTCTTATATTTCTAACTTATAAGGAAACTGGAATTTTTGTGATGTCTTGAGAAGGAAGGTGTTTTTTTGTTTGTTTGAAACAGAAGTGCTGGGGTTTTTTTTAAATCCCCTGTATAAAAGTCAAACTTTATTTTCTGGAATAACTAAAATATTCTTACCATCCCATGTATTTTGCATTCTTAGTAATGCCTCAAACATATCTTTGGTAGGTACTATGCGGTTTAGATCCACTGTTACTACTTCTAACCCTAGAATTAGAATAGGATAGAATATTTCAGTTGGAAGGGATCTACAATGATCATCTAGTCCAACTGCCTGACCACTCCAGGGCTGACTGAAAGTTAAAGCATGTTATTAAGGGCATTGTCCAAATGCCTCTTAAGCACTGACAGGCTTGGGGCATCGACCACCTCTCTAGGAAGCCTGTTCCAGTGTTTGAATGTGGTCTCAGTAAAGAAATGTTTCATAATCTCAAGTCTGAGCCTCCCCTGACTGATGCAGCTTTGAACTATTCCCACACATCCTGTCACTGGATCTGAGGGAGAACAGGTCAGCACCTCTCTCTCCACTTCCCCTCCTCAGGAAGCTGTAAAGAGCAATGGGGTCACCCCTCAGCCTCCTTTTCTCCAAACTAGACAAGCCCGCAGTCCTTAGCCGCTCCTCACAGGACATGCCTTCCAGCCCTTTCACCAGCTTTGTTGCCCGCCATTGGATGCATTCAAGGACCTTCACATCCTTCTTAAATTGTGGGGCCCAGAACTGCACACAGGACTCAAGGGTTTGATGCACCCCAGGATGCGGTTTGCCCTCTTGGCTGCCAGGGCACACTGCTGACTCGTATTGAGCCTGCTGTCGACCAGCACCCCAGGTCCCTCTCTGCAGGGCTGCTCTCCAGTCGCTCCTCTCCCAATTTATACTTGTGCCCGGCGTTACTCTGTCCGAGGTGCAGAATCTGGCATTTGTTCTTGTTAAATTTCATGCCAATGATGATTGCCCAATGCTCCAATCTATCTAGATTCCTCTGAAATTATTTTATTTACTATGGCACTTAGCGACATTGTATCATTTTATATACTGTAACTGTGATATTACAGTCATAGTACAACTGTTCAAATGTAATAAAGTGCTTGTGACATCATGTCATTACCTGAGAAATAAACAATACCAATGTTGTTTTAAGATCCTTTGTCAATAAACTGATATTTAGTGTTTCTGAAGGTTGGTGATATACATCTTGCTGCTTGCAAGTTTGTTATCCTTAATTAAAAATGACCAATACAAGGCAGCTGTCCATGCTACATAGTTCTTTCCCTGCCACCTTCCTTCACTTCAGCACTGCTAATATAAAAAAATGCTAGTTAGTCTTTGAAAATGTTTGTTACTGCTGTTCTGACACTGAATGTATCCAGAAAAATAAGCAAACGGCCACAGTGTTTCTCATGGAGCTAAAAAGAGGAAGACAATGCAAAATAGAAGAGGGCAAACATCAAGAGCAAGCT